TGTTACTTTCAGTAAAAGTGTGGTTATTTTATTGGCTTGTGTTGTTTTTTAATTCAGTATCATTAAAATTGAGTTAAATTTAAAAAGTCTTACAAAATTGCTTTATATTATTTAATAAAATAATAAATAATCATTACAAAGCATTTTCGGTTTCGGTTTTCGGCCAAGTGCATCCAGAATTTCCGGTTTCCGTTTCAGCCCAGAATTTTCATTTCGGTGCACCCCTAGATGTAAGACTACATGTTTTATTTAATTTAATATAAATTTACTTTCAAATGCCCCAATTGCTGAAGGGTCTGCACAACTTTTTAGTACAATTTCAAGTTGCACTGTTCGAAATACCTGTAGTAGCATACCTGTTTACATTTAATTAAGGTGGACTAGACTAGACTTTAATACAAATAGTTGAGTTTGCCAGGTGCATACAACATTTATGACAGGTTTTCATGAAAGTGTTGGTCAGTTTGTCTGCTTGACAATCCCATTTTGCACTGCAAAAATAAAACTGAAGTGAGATAAACAAACTGAGAAATGTTTATTTTTAGTTAAAACAGATGTTGTCAAAGTTTTCCTTTGGGGACATAATTTGAAGTTGGAAAAAGGTATTGTATTGTAAAGTGATACCTATTGGTCTTTATAGTTGTTTTGCACTTTAATCTGTGTAAAACTTTTAACGTTATACATTTTTCTGTATTGCTTTATTGCATTTAAATGTTCAGTTATTTTTGTTATAAGAAAAAAGTTATTAAACCTGTTATACTGTATTATGACAGCACTTTTTTTTTAAAAACGAAATATAAACCGTGATAATACCGTACACCGTGATAAAAGCATGAGCAATTAATCGCAACATGAAAATTTGATACCGGCATATCCCTAGTTTGCACTAGATCGGTAATGTTTGGCCACTTTGTCGACTTCACTGAGAATGGGAATAACTTTGGATGCTCAGACATGCGCCAAGTCACTGCTGCACTGATTTATGTGCTATACAACACTACAAATACAACATAGCTAAATCTAAATTCCAGAGGATCACTTGGATCATCATTTTACATTGTAATGAACAAAAAAACAAGAATTTGTCAAATAGCAATAGCTGTCCAAGTCGTACATTTTAATGAAACTAAAAGTTAAAAGTTAATATTTCCTTATTCAATGTATATTTTTTCTTTGTGATTTATTTAAATCAAATGAATTAATTCAATAAATCAATCAATCAGAATACTATAGTATGTTACAAATAAAATTTGATCAACATCAACAAAAGCCATGTTTACATTGCCAAAGGTGGTACATACAGTGCCCTCCACTAGTATTGGCACCCTTGGTAAATATGAGCAAAGGCGGCTGTGAAAATAAATCTGCATCGTTTATCTTTTTGATCTTTCATTAAAAAAATTCACAAAATTCTAACCTTTCACTGAAGAAAAACAATGGAAAGTGGGGGGAAAATCTAATTATGAAATACATGTTTTTCTCTAGTTCAAGGTGGCCACAATTATTGGCACCCAATTATTGCAACGTCCTTTTCCCAAGATGTACAACAACATGTGGTGATGTAGGTGCTGTTTGATTTTTTATTTGATTTTTTTTTTTTTAGGATTTCTGACCCCAAGACTCAACTAAAATCTGCAATTCTCCAGCTGTGATCCTTGGAGAGACTTTGGCCACTCAAACTCTCCTCCTTACCGTGTATTAGGACGATATACATGTCCTCTTCCAGGCAGATTTGTAACATCTTTAGTTGATTGGAACCTCTTAATTATTGCCCTGATGGTGGAAATGGGGATTTTCAATGCGTTAGCTCTTTTCTTACAGCCACTTTCTATTTTGTGAATCTCAACAATCTTTTTCTGCACATCAGAACTTTATTCTTTGGTTTTACTCCTTGTGATGGACGATTAAGGGAGTCTGGCCTTTGTGTTCCTCATATTTATAATCCTGTGGAACAGGAAGTCATGGACGAACAATTTCATGCTCCTAGTCACCCTGGTGTGCTAAAAAAAATGTAAATATGTATACTTCAGAGATATTTTACTCATTAGAATTTCTAGGGGTGCCAATAATTGTGGCCAACATGCATTGGGGTAAAACATTTATTTCATAATGAGATTTCGCCCCCACTTTCAATCATTTTACTTCAATGAAAGGTTAGAATTTTGTGAATTTTTTTTTAAACAAAGATCAAAAAGATAAACAATGCAGATTTATTTTCACAGCCACCTTTGCTCATATTTACCAGGGATGCCAATATTAGTGGAGGGCACTGTAGGCTGCATCATGATGTTTATTTAAACTTTTACAAACTGTTTATTTCTGCTCAAAGGGAGCATAAATGTTTTTAAACAACAATTGCATTATGTTATGAGATTAATGTAATTTTAAATAGCCTATATAAAGTATATAAATTATAAAATAAAAATTCAGGGTGTAATGCTGCCATACAAAGGTAAAACAAGCTGAGAACCATTTATCAGTCACCCCTCAATCACTCTCCCACACAAACTCTTCCTCATGCTTCCCAGTAAATGACTATTACAGAAATCAGTAAGATTTTCCTTTCAAAAGTAGAGAAAAAAATGTCAAATGAGAGCACTGTTAGATTCCATGAGGGCACAAAGGGACGGTGTGAGCACACATATGCAACCAATCTCTGCTTTTACTCACTCAGTCATATCCTATCCTTCTTGTGTGACCCCGTATTAAGAGGAATATATTTCACAAGAGAAATTACTTTCCATGGTGTAATGTTTTGCAGTCCATTTTTCTTTGAATATTTTACAGCTTGTGGGCAGCGTGCATTTTTTCCATCAATAATAGTTTTCTTGATATTATGAATAAGAATTTGTCAATTAAAAAAATGAAGCAAGGTTCTAAACCTTACGTTTGGCAAAAATGTAATACTGACTAAAAAATGAATCCGTAACTAATAAATAGTAACCAATAACTAGGGGTGTGCGATATATATTGTCTGCGATAATATCGTAATTGTTGTTTTAACGATGTGCGATTTGACATTATCGAGTATTTTGCAAAAACCATTCAAAACATCCCTACAGAACGCACGCATACATTATGCGAAGTCTAGACTAGCGCGTGTGCGCATTTAGTGTGTTTTCTTTCACTGCATGATTCAGTCTATTAAAATGCATTTAGAATGATCACAAATTCAAGACATGATGGCAGAAAATTTATATATTTATACCACTTCATATAGTTATTCAATTTCACACGAAGAGTGCCGTTTTTCTCCAAAAATTGATTACAAATGTGACATTGAATTCAATAAACAATAAGTTAATTAAGAGACTTACATTTTAGACACCATATTGCTTGTTTTTACTCTATTTCGCCAACAAAAATCATCCCGAATACAGCCACAGCACTGTTTTGTGTCTCTGAGCAACATGACGGTGTTTCGTTCTTCAATGAATCACTCGTTTAAATGATTCGGTTCAATCGCAATGACTCACTTATTAACAGTGATTTGCTGCCACCTGCTGGCGGTTTTAATTTCACACAATAACACACTCAGCAAAATATCGTCTAATTATCGTTATCGATAAAATCCCATAAAATATCGAGATATAATTTTTTGTCAATATCGCACACCCCTACCAATAACATCAAACATTTGATAGTACTACAAACTTCCTGCTTAGAAACATGGACATGTCCATCCTGACTAATCCACCCCCCCCCATACATTTACCTTCAATAAGAATAGTACTATACAGGACTGTGCAAAAAAAAAAAAAAACTTTAATTAAATTAATTTATAAAAAAAAAAAATGGAAGTATTCAATAAATTTATCCTGAAGCATAATGCATAAATTGACAAATAAAAAAATTCCCCAAAAAGAACCAAAGTTGTAAAAAAGCAAGAATTAGTCTGCACACTTCCAGAAACTGACAAGTTATGATGTATGTGCCTACCATTCGCCTAGTGCTTCCAGACATCTCATGCGACCCAGAATAAGCTCCGGATCATCTTTGTTCATGTCGATTTTTTTATCATAGGCGACCAAAGCATCTTCCCACTCATGAAGTTTCTCATACCAGGTGGCTTGGATCTCCTGTAGTGGAAGACAAACATAAAAGGATGATGGAAATAATTAAAACGATATCACTGACATCAATGAAAAATCAGGGACAATTTTTTTATTTATTTTTATTTTTTTTATGGGGTAGGGAGTTGAAAGTGCTTGCTTCATTCGTAAATTAAGTAAACCACAAACTCATCATTTGGCACTAAACATTTGGGATTTTCAGTCTCACACAAATTACATTCACATCTGGAATGCAGACAGCTGAGTACGGATAGCTCCAATTGTTGTTCTAACATTTAATGGGAGGGCACAGAAACAATTTATTTTAAAATTGGCAGCGAGCCCACTGTGAGCATCTGCCAGAGTAATGGATGGCTCAGCAACAGTTGAAATAACACTTCACCAGGTCATATTTCATAATTTAAAGAAACTGAATTTTCTAAGCAGGCTCTGCTGATGAATGAGAGCATAAAATGCTCATTTTTCATATAGTATACAGAATCTGTATGTCATTTGGGCCCAATAAGTCTCGAAAGGCTACAACAACAACAAAAAACAAAGTAAATCTCCACTCATAATCCTGGATTCTGCAACAAGGGCCAGAAAATTGGCAAAAAAACTGCATATACATAGAAAGTACCAGCTTAAACAAATAAATGTGTATTTGTTTTAACATTTTACACAAAAACTTAAACTATGATCAAAACATTGGAATCACTACAACAGTTTTCTTACTACTCTTTATATACTCACTTTCTATTAGGGATGTTCATTTTAACCGTTTAACCGGTTATCCGACGGTAAGAATTTTGACCGATTAATACAATCAGTTAAACGTTTTAAGAATGCATTTAATTATTTATTTTTTCAGTAATTTATCAAAATATTTAAAATGGTTTGCTGCATGGTTAAAATACACTACGCGTATAAAAAAAACTTGTTTTTTAGGGGAAAACATGGGCATGTCACGTATAATTCGCATTTTATTTTCATTCAGAAATAGACCTAATGCCGACGCGAAATGTTTACAAACATTATAATAAACACTGTAAACATAGCTAGTGAATTGTGAGTGAGTTCCCCTCACTCCACAACAAATCCTTTCAATTAACAATATTTAGAAAAGAATTAAAGAATTAAAAATATTAGAAGCTATAGCAATATAAATGACAAGCCAAAACGAATTCATTTAGGTTAAAACTAAACTGAAACCAACGTTGGGTCTCTCATTCCACACAAAATCAAATGTTTCCGTATTCACAATGTATTTGAATGGCAAATTATTATTTATTATGTACTTCACTCACGTTACAATATCCACGTAAAACAAAATGTTTTACATCACGGTGGTACAGTGATAACACTTAACCTTAACGGCTTAACAGATTTTACTACATATTTTTTACTAGGCCTACATATTTTTTTTTTTTACTACATAGTTTTTTCCATATGTTTTACTTACTGTATTTTATTATGATAATGAACCATTATGAATGATGGCCATGTGAATCCTCATGTTCTGTTTGCTGCTTTTTGCGCATTTAAAATTAAACAATGTTAGTATTTTTAACGGTTCACAGACACTTATCCTTTCTAATTGAATTCAATTCTAATTTAAAATGATCTTGTCGGTTAATGGTTAACAATCGGTTAACGAGCATCGGTTGTCGGTTAGGAAAAATAACCGAAATGAACATCCCTACTTTCTATACTATTCTGATTCCATATACAGTGCTACTCAACTGAAAAAAAGATGCTGAATTTGTACTTTAATAAGGACACATTAGATTTCTTAAGAACTAGTAGGTTTTCTACATAAACTGTTTTTTTTGTAAACTAGAGTAACTAGAATTTTGACTATTATGACTTTTTAAAAACTACTACATTGGTGAGCAGAGGTTTTGCAAAATATGAGGCCCAAATGTTTTACAAATGCAAAACACTATTCACAAAAACTACAAGTGTGCACAAAATGTTTTACATTTATGAACTGATTGTTAAGTCTGTATTTGCAAATTGTCACACGTGTGAATTGATTTAGATTTGTATTTGTATGTGTGTGTACAGGTTTGATACCTGTGAGGTCCAAAATGTCCTCACTAATAGCCAGACCTTACTAGTTTAAAATCAGTCAAATTATGTTTGTCTTTAAATCTTGTTATTTGAAATCTAGTGTTTAGGGGTAGGGGTTGGGTTAAGCGATAGAAAATATAATTAACCTGTTGAGGGGCCCCACAATAACCTCCCCGTGCTGGGTTGCGTCGTATCATGTGTCAACTATAGCCAGAGATATTGTCAAAAGCATCAAATATTGGCAATATTAAGAGGATTTGGCATTTCCAATTAATGTAGGCCTGTTACATTCTTCTTATTATTAGGCCTGTTATTATTATTAGGTTACTTTTATTATTAAATTACAATTAATTTGCCCTGCAATAATTTCATAGAGCATCACCACATAACTGACGCGCTATGAGGATAATAAAAGATTAGGCTATTAGCTTACTCCTCATTGAAAATGTTTTTAAAAAGCTATTGTAAAACAGGTCTATTAATTTATACAATGAATTATAGGTCTGTAATTAAAATTATTAACACTGCAGTCATCAATGAAAATTAAGAGCAGCTTTATTTCAAGCACCGACTTTCAAAAATAACCTGTTTAACGCAAAATTCATTTCTCTTTTTTTTTTCACTATGCATGGGCCACAAGAGAAATATTAAGGAATAATTCAAGACAGTTATATGCCGTTATCAGCATATGTTGAAGTAGATTCGTCTCTTGTCGTCTCTGAGAGAATATTCGCCGTTAATGCAGCGTCAGATGCCGAAAGCGGCGTCAGTTTGTACTTTTTTTACTTTCACTTTGTATAATTGACTGAGGTTAAAACGTTCACCGTCATAACTCCTGCGCAAAGTTTGCACGTTGCTTATTATCAGCCTTCATGGTTTAAAACAGAAATATTTCCAATATTGCGACGTAACAAACCCCATAGCCACCCCTAGCACATTCACTCTGTCTACGAAACCACGCTGTAGTAGCACATGCAGAATGAGACCTGGATTTGTCTTGATCTAATAACCATGGACTTCCCATGAAAAACATCATCTTGATAACATTTTATGTCTCTGTACAATTTCAATATATGCCTCCATGTCAATGGTACCTTCGCACGTATGCCAGTCACCCATACCGTTTGCTCTGCTGCCTCTCCATACTATGACAGACGTTTGCTTTCGCATCTGTCGCTGATGAAAGTCTGGATGCTCCCTTTCATGTTTGAGATTAAGAAGTCGACATCGATTTTTTTCAGAAACCAGGTGAAATGTGGACTCACCTGACCACAGCACACATTTCTTTTTGACTATCTGAGATGAGCTCTGGCCCAGAGAACGCTGCGACATCACTGCATAGAATTGATGTACAGCTTTCTCCAAGAGTAACAGAGATTCAAGTTGCATTTATTGATGCAACAGCAGACTGTGTTAAGTGACAGCAGTTTCCCGAAGAACTCCTGAGCCCATGTGGCTATATTTAACACCGCAGCATGACGGTTTCTTATGCAATGCCATTTGAGGGCCCAAAGGTCATGCACATTCAACTGAGGTTTCCTGCCTCACCCTACATAGACTGAGATTTCTCTGGATTCTCTGAATCTTTTCACAATATTATGTATGGTAGTTGGTAAAATAAATAAATTCTTTGCGATTTTGCATTGAGAAATGTGATTTTTGATTTGTTTGACACTTCTCTCATGAGATTTGTTATAGCGTGATGAACCATGATCCAGCTTTGCTGGCAAAGACTGAGATGCTCCTTTTATACCCAAACATGATACCCTCACCTATTACCAATTCACCTGCTTACTGTGAACGATTTCAAAACTTTTTTTGGAGTATGTTGTAGCCATCAAAATATTTTCTTTGTTCTTTTGTCAATTAAATAAAAGTTAAATTGAATTAACAAATCACAGATTCTTGGCTTTTGTAAGGTCTGTTTTGGGTTTTGTCATGTTCATGTTTTCATGTCTTTTTTGGGCTTCGTCACCAGGTAGATTTTAATGATACGTTCCTTAAGGACATTTTCCGTTTTGGTTTGGACAAAAACATTTCCCAGTTGATGCCACGCAATACCCCATACTGGTCACTGGAACAATACATTGACTTTGCACTCCGTTTGGCTGGCTCACCATTTACTGTGGGGATAGTTGATGAGGAATCCTGCTATCCTCCAGAATGCCAAAGCCTGCTAATGTCGTGCCTGCTACTCCAGGACCTACTAACATCATGCCAGTTAAGTCAAAGTATACTCATGTCATGTCTACTAAGTCAAAGCCTGATCACATCATGTCTGCCAAGCCAGAGTCTGCTAACGTCATGTCTGCTACTCCAGGGCCTGCTAACGTCACACCTGCTAATCCAGGGCCTGCTCACGTCATGCCGGCCACTCAAGAGCCTCGTCACGTCATGGCTGCCACACCTGATTCCCCGGCCAAGATGGCTGACACGCCTGAGTCCCCGGCCAAGATGGGACTTTAAAACTTTTTGTTGTAACTTGGCATGAAAAATCACACTGAAGACAGGACTGCAGTATGGTCGTTTTTTACTAATAACTGTGCACACAGGATAAACAACAGTCTGACTACACAGCAGCACACACAACGTTCATCTGCATAACAGGCAGTATTCCCAACAACTGCATATGACCCCCCCAGCGGTCAACAACAGGAACTGCTAGAGTTGTACTCATTGTACATCTTTCAACCATAAGCAGGAACCCATTGTAGGCCATAGCCATTGCCATCATTTCTCACATACGTACACAGCATCACCCTCTGAAAAGGTCTGCAGGTCTACGCTGTTGTCATGTTCTTCTTTCTGTTTCAACTGTTTCTTTTGTACTTTGGTTGCCATGTCTGGTAGAAGCAAATCAAAAAGTCAATCTTAATCGTCTGGACATCTTAATTTCAGAAGGAGACAATCCACTCATGGTTTGTGGAGTAATCGTATAACTAAACAGAAACCCGCTCACTCTTGTCTCCAAAGTTTCTCCTCACATTTTCTTGAGACCATTTTTAAAGTCTGCACGGCTCTTTCCGCTTACCCATTTGATAAAGGGTGGAAGTGTGCTGTTCTGATGTGCTGAATTTCATTCTTTTTCATGAATGAAGCAAAATCTGCACTTGTAAAACAAGGTCCATTGTCTGATAATCAACATCCGAGGCAGTCCAATTACACTGAAACTCTGTCTTAGCTTTTCTATAGTGGTCTGGGAGGTATCCTCACATCATGTCTGCCAAGCCACAGCCTGCTCACATCATGCCTGCTACTCCAGGACCTGCTCCAATCATGCCAGTTAAGTCAAAGTTTACTCATGTCATATCTACCAAGTCAAAGCCTGATCACATCACGTCTGCCAAACCAGAGCCTGCTCACATCATGCCAGTCACTCAGGAGATTCTTCACAATATGGCCGCCATTGAAGAGCTTCGTGGCAAGATGGCCGCCACACAAGAGTCTCTTCACAAAATGGCCGCCCTTCTAGAGTCTCGTCACGTTTCAGCTGATCTTCAAGAGTCTCATCACGTCGCAGCTGATCGTCCAGAGTCTCGTCACGACATGGCCACCATTTCAGAGCCTCATCCCATCATGGCCACCATTTCAGAGTCCGCTCACGTCTGCCCCAGAGGCCCCTGCTGTCCACGAGTCTGTCTCAGAGGTGACGGCATCCGCTGCAGAACCTCCAGAGGTGACGGCATCTGCTGCAGAACCTCCAGAGGTGACGGCGTCCGCTGCAGAACCTCCAGAGGTGGCGGCTTCCGCTGCAGAACCTCCAGAGGTGGCACTGTTCACTTCTGAACTATTTGCTTGTCCTGTCACGGCCACAGAGGCTGTTCATGAACTCACTGTCTGCCCTGTCACAGCCACGGAGGCTGCTCACAAACTCTTTGCTTGTCCGGTCACGGCCACAGAGACCGTTCATGAACTCTTTGCTTGTCCTGCCACGGCCAAGGAGGCTGTTCATGAACTCACTGTCTGTCCTGTTATGGCCATGGAGGCTGTTCATGAACTCACTGTCTGTCCTGTCACGGCCATGGAGGCCGTTCATGAACTCACTGTCTGTCCTTTCACGGCCAAGGAGGCCATTCAAGAACTCTCTGCGTGTTCTGTCACAGTCAAGTGGTCTGTCCATGTCTCTGCTCCGCCATGGCTCCCCGCTCTGCCTGCTCCGCCATGGCTCCCTGCTCTGCCTGTTCCGCTTCATGGGCCTGGCTCTCCATCCCACCCCCTGGACCACCTCCAGTCCTCCATCCTCCTGGACGTTTTGTTGTTTTGGTTAGGGTGGATGTTGCATTAGGGCGTCAGGAGCCGCCCATAGAGGGGGGGATCTGTAAGGTTTGTTTTGGGTTTTGTCATGTTCATGTTTTCATGTCTTTTATTTTGTAATTGTTTCATGTTAGTGTCATGTTAGTGTCATGCTTCCCTTGCCCTCTTGTCTTCATGCTATTGGTTCCTCTGTTCATTGTGTCATGTTCTGATTGGTTGTCTTAGTCATGTGTCTTGTTTCCCATCTAGTCTTCATTTATTGTTTGGATGTTTGGATCACGTCTGTAAATAAACTGCACATGGGTTCTTCACTACGTTCGCTTTCAGTGGACTGAATCGTTACAGCTTTATTGCATTTTACAAAACGTCCCAACTTTTCTGGAATTGGGGTTGTAAATGCTTACAAAACACTTGTTTCATCTGAAGTTAATATTCTAATAGTTAAACAAGACAAACAGATACTATTTTTATGACAATCAAGCAATTAGCCCCTCAATTCTCATCACAATAATTAAAAAACAAACAAACAAAAAAAAACATCTAAAATATTTTTTAAGGTGATATGACCAAGACCTTTCTTAACAGGCATAGTGAGATTCACATCATCTTATAAAGTCAATGCATGATGGATGGCACACAGATTAATAAGGGATGGAAGGTCTTACCAATTCTCCAAAGTGTTTCATGGCATACTCCAGAACTCCTGATGCTGCCTCTGGCTGCTGGAGCTTATTATTGATGCTAAAAAGAAAGAATACAATGTTTTAGTGTACACTCTAAATCTTTAATATTGCAAATATGATTATGGAAATTGAGATTAGTTAAAACAACAAGTTTATAACACTAAAAAATGGTAGTATCTCCAAGCACATGAGCAATTAGCCAGTAAATTCGCACAATAAATGGCCTGACAAATATTTTACTGTTATATTTATGATCCTTCTAATGACCAATTAAAAAACTTCCCATCTGGAAGCACTTGTGTCAGTATGAAGTTTTCTATGACTGCCAGACTTGCCAATACATCTGCTTTTACAGGGGTAAGGGAACCCCAACGAAAGGAAATCAAGCCATCATTAAAAAAAAAAAAATCATACAAAACCAATTAATAAAACAATAACATTTGTAACTTGTACCAAAAAAATGTATGTTACCAACACCACTAAAAAGAAACAGCATTTATGACACAATGACTCCCTGAATATTTGACAGAATAATCAAACAAGTATTTTTCGGGGGTATGTATATTAGCTTTATTTAAAGGGGTGATGACATGAGAAACCAAATTTGCCTTGATCTTCTGGCAAATAAGAGGTCTTTGTACCATCAAAAGTTCCTGCAAGTTTCATAGCTTAAGACATCCTCCCCATTATAAACAAAGCATTTATTTAATCAAGCTTCAAATACGGCTCGTTATGGATCCTATGGGGCAAGGTGACATCACCTAGCACCAGTCGTTTGCATATGACCGCCTTCAGCGCAAGACACCTACGCCTAATTTTGCATCATCGCATCGTTGTCACGCCCATAGGTGTTCAGTCGACGTGCAGCGAGTGGGTCTGAAGAAGTAGCTGTTTACAATAAGATTGCGATACCACGCAGATGTGCAGTTCCTGGCTGTGGAAAAACAACATGTTTGAATATGCTGCCGAAGGATCCAGATGTCAGGGAAAAATGGATTGTTTATTTTCTGCGAACGTCCCAGTCACGTCAGTGTTAATTTACGCGTGTGTTCACTACATTTCATGGATGACTGTTTTGAGAACAAATCGCTACTGTAATGCTTGCCAGAACACTTTTGCTCAAAGATCAGGCCGTGCCGACTATTCTGGACCCAACAACGACACCGCAAACTGTAAGTAATGTAGTTCATGTAAAAACTACTTTTTAAAATATTAATAGTGGTTTAATTCATAATGAATAATCACAGTGTTTTTAATTACTTACTTTTCAGAGTCCATCATGTTCAGGCCCCGTGTTAAAAAACATTAGCCAATCATAACAGTGGGTGGTTACACTGAACTCTTAAAGGGGAAACCCCCCCAAAACCGACTGTTTGAGTCAGAGGATGAGAAACAGGGTGGAAAAAGGTCATAAATCACTAAATTTTTTAAGTTTTTCGTCCAAAAAACTATAGTAATATTATAATTGCACCTAAGGGAACATAATAAAACAAACCAAAAAACCCATGTCATGACCCCTTTAACTTTATTCAACTGTTGGTCCTATGTAAGCATCATTAGCAAAAACATGTTATAGCACCACATTGTGGCCGATTCTCACCAAATTTGATACACAGCTTAATCAAGCATACCTTCTAAGTGTCTGCCATTTTTCACAATAGTGGGCCGGTCAGATTTGATTTTATAAGATGCTGAAATTTGATTGGCTGTTGGCAGCAATGTTTGTTTGGTTATGAGAGTAACATTTGAAAAATATGTTACTATTTGCCCCAAAGAAGGGGCATACCCATTTTCAACTTGATTTATCATATGGCTGTGGAGTTAAGAGCGTTTGTTTTTTTGTTATTTTTTGCGTTCGAATATAGGTCCATTCGTTAAAACGTGTGATGGCAGACAATTTAATTTGCTAATATCTTTGCAATGCTTCTACATATCAGCATTTTTTGACAACATTTTGCCAGCATAATCTATAGCTGCTTTGTACACAGATTGGTGAAGATTGGCAAACAGCCTAAGTGGTGTTCGAAGAACTAGGTTTTCAGAAAATCGAAAATAGTGCAAGCACAAATAGAAATCGAAGATATATGTTTTGCAGATTAGTTGAGGGGAAAAATACGTTTGCTACTAGGCCTTACAATTTCAAAGTGATGAACCAAAATGCAAAAGTGCTAATTATAGCACCACCTAGTGCCTGGCGGATATGTATCTGGGATTTCTGATCATCCCACCAAGTTTGGTATCATTTGGTATCGCTTTTTATTTTTTGCCAGATGAAATGTACAGATTTGTTGGCACAATGGTGAGAGTAACCTCAGTAACTAATAAGAGCTGTACAATTCTGGATTAACTGATAATCTTTTTTTTTCTTTTCTTTTGCTTAGAATAGAGATCATGATTCTCTCACAACTGATAAATTGTCATTATTTGCATATTACATAATTTGATTTGACAGCCCTAGTTTGAAATATTGTGAGTTTACAATTAAACATTGGTGCTACTTTCGAGAAACTGAGTACTTGTGCTCATCTCTATTTATGACTGTATTTGTTACAAGGAGGCCCCTTTCCACCATGAAATCTAAGGCGTCAGTAACATATGCAATGACCGAGAGAGAACACTGAATGGAACATTTGCACTTCTGCCCATAAGCCATTACAGTTGCTGTCTCTTTCCCGCTTTTTAAAAGCCCTTGGGGGCAACATACTTGCTAGGTGATGTCAAAATAACTGTTCTGACACTTGGCGAGGAAAGTTGGAAAGTGCAAAAAACAAGCTAGAAAGTAAGTATTGGTGTTGCTTCCTATGATAAATAATTTGGCTTAACCAGTTTAAACATGTAACTGTTTGATTAGATGGATAAGTACACAGGCAAGACACACATTAAAGCTGCTCAAGTCTACATAAATCCCACAGTACATTAGAACCTATAGGCTTGAACAAAGTTATGTCAAACAGAAGAGAAAAAAAAGCAAATCACATTTTGCAATTCAAGACTAGGAAAGACTGCATGAATGCATCTAGTAATGGTTTGGAAAGCAGGTGGCATTTTGTATTTGCAACATCAAATTGCAATTGCAGTGCTGCATCTACTGTGACTTCTAGCTCATTCTGTTCTTCTGTATCAAGGTTCTTCAGAATAATTTAAATTTCACTACTACAGACTCTACAAGAGTATGCTAACAGTCTGTATGCTACATATAAGTGCTGGGTGCATTATTCTAGTGGTTCTACTCCTATTGGCATTCAACCAAGTAAATATCTGATTCTATTCCATTTCATGACATCACATTTCACCTGTTATAAAACAGAAAAACTGGATACAAACTGGAAAGTGTACAAGTTAAAAAAAATTTTTTTTTGGAGATTATTTGTTTGTTTTTAAGTTTCCATAAGTTTGATGTGGGCTTGATAAAGTGTGCTCTAACTCTATTACTGTTTCTTCTGCTTTTAAATCTGAGTTGAGTAGTCATTGTAATATCTGAGCCATGGCTTGATAGAACAATCACAAGCTATGACCTACAGTGGGGTTGCCAGGTATGTTTGCACATACGAGGAATTTGTTTTCATGACAGAAGCTTCCGCAGTGCAACAGAATGACAGCCACAGTACAAAAACACAGATAATAAAAGAAGAATAAAAAAATAGAATAGAACAATTAAATAAGAAATAAAAATATATAAATTGGCAATTGTATGTGCAGGTATATTACAATAAGACAGTTTTGTATGTACAGGTATATTATGTGCAAATTTGAGGTGTAGACTAAGTGTGTGTGTTAGATAAATAAGTTTATGAGTGTATAAATAGTATTGTGTGTTCCACAGTTATTGTCAAGTGTTCATGAGATGGATTGCCTGAGGGAAGAAACTGTTCCTGTGTCTGGTCGTTCTGGTGCTCAGAGCTCTGTAGCGTCGACCAGATGGCAACAGTTCAAAGAGGGAGTTTGCTGGATGTGAGGGGTCCAGAGTGATTTTGCTAGCCCTTTTGCTCACTCTGGATGAGTACTGTTCTTGAAGAGAAGGGAGGGTTGTACCAATGATTCGCTCAGCAGTACGGACTACCCTCTGTAGTTCAGAATAATTCCTCTTTGCCACTCTGATCTCCTCTTCCAGTGTGTATTTACACGCGCGTTTAGCAGCCATAAAGACTGGTTGCCCACTGAAGCCAAGCAGGGCTGAGCCTGGTCAGTACCTGGATGGGAGACCTCCTGGGAAAACTAGGTTGCTGCTGGAA